GCCCTGCTGGATTTGGGGCCTTAGGGGGTTTAGGGAGATCATGGCGCATGGCACCAGGGGTGTGCCTCTCAGCAGCTACTTGTCACCATGGATGCCGATATTTTGTAAGGTACACCTGCAAGGGTTCCGGCCGTGCTGAGCGCCCCCCCGAAGCAAGATCTGCTTGGCATAATGATCCTTGGGAAAAAGCCGCCGAAGGCCTTCTACGGCGAACTATTTGCAAGTGCTTAGGCCTAAGCTGGAGGCTTCAACAGGCCCTATTCGGCCCTTCTGCGAGTCAAGTGCACGCAAGGAAGGCATCAGCAGCGAGATTTCCATGCCGGCCTACGAGCGAGCAAGGATCTTGCCATACCCAAGTGAGACATGGAATCTACTGGGCAACTTGCGGCCACCGACCTTGAGGCGTACGATCTTTATAGTGTATCTTCCCAAGCTTCAGCTTCGTGAACCTCGGCGTGGCTTCTCTTCAGCGCACTTTCTGCGCATGCAAACGGCCCAGGTCCCTTGGAAAAGTCACTCTCCGAGCTTGCCGGTGCTGTGCAAGGATAGGGGTGTGCATGGGTTGCGCGAATTCGTGTACCAACAACACACGCATCCTCATGCCGCGTTGGGGAACTGAGGTGCTCAAGAGGTTGGCCCCAACACCTAGGGCTGCCTGAAGAGGGGTCCCAGAGGGAGGCACACCCGAGAGCCGACCCGAGTCAACCACTCAGGGCCGAAACCCCTCAGGAAAATCTCGAGAGCTCGGCCTTTTCAATGATCTTTCTAAAAGTGGGCTGCAGTTCTCGCATTGCCGTGTTCATTCTTATGGAGGGAAATCAGGCACCCCTCAAAAAGTGTAGCGCTTGGCGCTGACACCAACCTCTATGCCTAAGAGCCTATAAGTGAGAGAGAGTGCCTCATTGGCAAATTGCGTCAGCTTACATTCAAGAAGTTGGGGACATCATCCAGATTTCCGAGGTTCAAGAGAGCACCCTCTCAGTTTTTTGGGATTCCGGAGATCTAGCAACTTTTCTGCAAATGCCGTCAGCGTGCTTGCAAGTCGGTCTCCGCACCAGTTTCGTCCCCAGCAGTTTTCAAGGACAGTCGCACCCCGACCAAACGCCGGGCTTCAACTATGGACAAACTTAGGCTTACATTACACTTCATGTTCTGCAGTGATACTATTGTACAGATGGTTGAAGGCGTGCAAATTTGTTTGTCAAATCCCTCTGGCGGAGTCCGCTCCCTCCGGGCGTTGAAGTCGCCTGCAGAGAGTGCCTTGCAGACTGTACACTTGCAGAGAGTCACGTCGCCATCCTGTTTCTGAAGCCGGTCAGCGGGTTTAGGGTGCAGGGTCTAGGGTTTAGGGTTACATAGGGCTAACATTCACTTTGGGTCACCATTAGCAGCTGACCGACCCTCAGGCCTACCCAAAAATTAACAAAATCTGTACTGCTTTGCAACGGCAATTCAGCCAATGCAGCTAAACGCCTCAGTGTCCGAGTGGATGTTGGATGCAGCTCAGAACCAACATGAACAAACATCCGCAAGGTCTCCATCAGAAGCGTAGAAGTGGAATGATGTACGATACTGTCGAACGTCTTTGTTGCACGGGCGCCCGACGTGAGACAACCACTGGTTCAAAGCATTGGAGGCGTTTCCACGCCTTTCAGAGTTCAGGAGCGGCAAAGCTCTCAACTTTGCACACAAGCAGCCTTTAACCCTTCAGATGGACACACAGACATTGCGCCCACCTAGCTCCCGCCAGGCGGACCAGGAGGGAGCTTCTGGTCGCCAGGTTCCTCACGCAGCTCTGCACGAGCCGACCAGGTGTCTGGTTGCTGTCCGACAAGAACATGACTCCACTGACACCTCTCAACCTCAGCCCCTAAGCTTGCAGGACAGAACCCTAACAACCCCTTCTAAGTCTCAAGATGGCTCAAAAAACCCCAGTGCTCAATATGCTCAATGCCCCCAAACAGCGGCCTCCGAGGCTCGTGATGGTCGCGGGGCGGGGTCGCTCCGGGCCTCGTGGCTTTGGAAGCTTCATGTCACGCCTCCCCCTGGTCCACTCCATTCTTGGGTGGCTGCACCCCCTAGATGGAGGCTTCACGTGCACAGCGCAACGCACCTGCATCGCAAACTCAGGAACCTGCTCCGAAAACCCAAGGGCTGGGAGACCCCATCGCTTCGCTGTTGGGGAAACATGCCTCTTAGGGAGGCTGCAAACAAGTAAGCGCGTGCGCATGCGCCTCAGAACCCCGTACTTTTCATGTAGAGCGCCCTGCAGGGTGCACGGGTGCCTTTTTCGGAGCCATCGGCCCTACAAGTTCCAAAAGGGTACAGGAGCCCCGGGCACACCCCCAGTACCATTTCTTGGAGCAGAAAAGGCACGGAAGCCCCCGTACCCTTTTTTCTGACTTCTCGGTCCCTGAAAGCTATTTGGTCGAAACCCAGAAGGCTCCAAGAAGGTAAGGAGGCCCATACCTTAATTGGAGATCTCGGACCTTGAGAGAAGCTCTATCAAGACAAGGTACGGAGGCACTGCAAAAAAGGACGGGCGTCCCTCCTGTTTTGAAAACCGCCACAATCTTACTAAAAAAGGTGAATCCTCATGAATCATCCTCGCCAATGCCTAATGCCCAGCTGACGCACGCAGGTGCGTCTGGGCAACTTCCAGTGCGCCGGCCAAGCGGCTGAGGAGCTGACCGGATGGCACCGTCACAGGCACCCTCAGCAGGCGCCGGTCCGAACCCACCTTTGACACACAGGGCAGAGGCACTTGACGGCCACAGTCTACCTTTCAAGTAAAGTCGCAGGAGGTCTCTTTGAATCACTTTCGGCCGAGGGGTTGTTTTGCAAAGTGCAAGCAGCCAGCTGCTTGTCAGAAAGTACTTCATCCGCGCGGTCTGGCAGTGTCTCTTACAGTATAGCAGTGGCTCCAGTGGCTTCATCTCGCCCTTGGTTGAACACCCGTCCCAATCTCGGCTGGGACACCTCGGAAGAGCCGCTGTCCTTAGAAAACAGGTACGTCAGCCCATGAGTGGTACTGCGTGCTTGGGGTGCTGACAGCTGCTAATCTCCAAACCGCATCACCGAAACTCCTTGAGACTTGACTCTTGCTCTCACTCAAACTTCCACACCGGGCATCGTTGGCTTCCTCGGATGTGTCGCCGGCTGTAACCGTAGAGGAGGTTTCCGACAAGCCAAGCCTGCGCTTTCGAGACATCTTCGGGCTGAAAGGTTGCTTGCAGACATGGCTCGGATTCTTTGAGACGGAGTTTGATAGGGTCTGGCCACATTTGAGGAACTTCACATCATCTAGTCGCACGTGGCAGTTCACAAAAGAAACGGCTTGGCCTGTTCGCATCCTCTAGCCATGTCGTCCTCAGCAACGGGGATGGCACTTGAGCGGCAAGCCGATGCCAATGAAAGCTACTCCAAGTGCGAAAGCCCTATGCCCTAGACCTCTGAGCCCCTAAACCCCTAAACCCCTAAAGACCTGAACCCCTAAACATCTGGACCCCCAAACCCCTAAATCCCCGAGCCTCTGAACCCCCAAAAGCCCTCAACCCTTAAAGCCCTCCACCCTCGACACATGGGACCACTTGCCACTGCAAGCATCACGTCGCCACACCTCGCCACACCCACTGTCCACCACCGCACACACCCCAGGACAACACGCGACCACATCTTGTTGCTGCTGTTTTGCTGTTTCTTGGCTGGAATCCATAATGATTTTGTCGCTATTGACCCCCCCCCCCCGACTCCTAAACTCCTAACGCCCTGAGACTGGAGCCCTACCCCCGCCCCTGCGCCAGGGGAGGCACAACATGTTCCACACCACAGGGGGGTAGGGGGTGGCGGAGATTGAAATCTAGCCAAAAACATGGGCTGAAGAGAAAGAGTGGGGGGCAGCCGATACCATGGGGGTTGGGGGCACAACACGTTCTACGGAGGAGGGGTAACCAAAAACATGGGTGGAAGAGGAAGGTGGGGGGGGGGGGGGGGAGGCGAGGTGTAAGTCCAACTGGCTCTCAAGAACTGACCGACAATCATTGCTGATTCTGGGGTGTCCATCCTTGGTTTCCCATCGGTAGTGGGGTGCTTTCATATGGCCAGTGCTACGATATGTGGATGCAGGATGAGGGGAGCGTGGGGATTTAAATCCTGGATGATCAAGTCAATGCTTTTGCAGACCCTCACCACAACAGGGAGCTCTCAGACCGAAATATTCGCAATAATCACTTTTGACTTTCGATGGTGGACTTCTCCCGGAAAGCTTGGCGCTGGGCTCGCTCTCCAAGTACTTGGGGTCCCCCGCAACCGAGTTGAGAAGCCACCTTGGGCTGAAGCCCAAGAGCAGCTGCCGCTGGACGTGTCAAAGGGCAGCCCCTAGGACTCTTATTAAGGCACGCAAGCGGAGCATAAGCCGTGGCCCAGACCAAGTGTGCATTCTCAAGTTGCAAAAGACCTCGCATGGCAACGTGACATGCGCGACACATCCTGCGCGTCATGACCAACCCAGCAACTCCCGCCCTGAGAGCTCTTTGGGCCTTGTCCGTGCTCGCAAGGAACAAGGACGTCAGCAGATTGGCGACGAGCACGATGTAGGCCTCAATCCAGTCGGTAGGCCCCTCGGTGTCCAAGCCAAGCCCCCTGAACTTCTGCAGCCATGTAAGGGGTTCAGGGCTCAGGGCATGAACCATCATGAACCACTTAACGAATCCCTTCACCCAGCCTGCAAGGTATGCAGCTGATGCGAGAAGAAGAACACCTGAGCGAAGATGATGTGGAGCCATGACCGAGGTACCAAAGCTGATGGGTTTTTGGACTACGGGCTTGGATCCGCGTTCCTAAGCAGAGCTGTGCAGTCTGGCATTGTCAACATTGACAATAACAAAATGCTCATCATATACCACCAAGGGGGAGAGGGAGGAGTCCAGGGCTGGGCCGGCTGATGTTTGTGGATTCAGAGAAACAGCCGCCCGAGTCTTCTAGGTCTTCGCACTGGCCGGTTTTGCATTATTGAAGCATACTCAGGATGGCCCTCCACAATCAATTGTTCTAAAAATAGAATAACAATACCAATGATACTCATAGTCATAATAAGAATAAATCACCATCCTGATCTTTCAAAGACCACGGCGAGGGCACCCAGGGTGTTGGACCCTAAGTTAGAATACCCGAATACCCAACCCCTAAACCCTAAACCCTAAACCCTAAACCCTAAACCCCAAGTTGCAGCCCGGAGAGCGTGGGCAAATCGAATGCACCGGTGCAACCTGAGCAATCTCGGAGGACTCACAGGGCTTTGCGCAGCTTGGCTTTGCAAGGCAAGGCCAAGAATCTCACACTGCGATGGTTTTACACTATCTTGATTAGTTCTGTGGCCACGGATGCACAAGAGGCATGCGGCTTCAAATGCTTTCAAGCCAGAAGCCGAACGACAAGACTCAACACATTATCCCCGTGTTCCATCCCACCTTCGGTTGGTGGAGTCTTGCGAAACTCTCCTCTTCACGTGGAGGCAGGCAAAGCCGTCCTCAAGATGTCAACGCGGCAAAAGCCATGCAAATGGGAGCCATGACATGGACAAGCTTACGTCCTGAAAGAAGCAGACAGGAAAAATCTTCGCTTTTGCTCTGAGCAGTGCTTCATTGGCTCGGCTGTGTTTTGGAGATTTGTGACCCCCTCCTGCCTCGGATGCAGCCGCCCCCGTAAGTCGGAAAATCGTCAGGATGAGGTGCTGGAGGAAACCTGCCGCCAGCCATGCCCGCGTGAGACAAGCATGAGCCTTCCAGCCGTCTACATGATCCCACCCTGCAGCCCCTTATCCTGAAACCCCTTGACACACCCCAAACCTCAAGCAGGGCATGTGGGCCAAGGTGGCGGCCTAAGTACTCCACGAAAACGAGGAACGAGATGAAGAACTCTGGTAGGCGCACCTGGAATCTGCAGAAGCTGATTCATCGAAGTTTTGTAAGGGCTTAAGGACGTGCCTTAGGGGTTTAGCTTTGCAGCCATGCAACTCTGCTGATTCAACACGGCCATCGGATGACTGTTGTCTTCGATCACATCTTCGAAGCTATGACGGTGGATGGCCAGATGCTCTCATCATCTGTCCTATATGGCTGAGGGCATCACCCAAAGTGAAGGAGCCGTGGCGCGCTCGCCAATGACCCCAATAACGTAGAGGCGGCCCACGAGAAGCACCTTCAGCCACTGCCAAGATCAGCATTGTCGAAAAGAGATGTGCAGTTGCATGGGTTCACAGCGACAGGTTCCACATAGACAGAGATAGAGGCAGAGACATCTATGAGTGTCTTCAAATTGGGGATAAGTGGCTGCAGCTTGCTGCCAAGCCTATGTGCCCAGTAGAAATAAAAATTAAAGTACAAAAAAAGATGAACCTAGTCTTCGATTCGATTGCCTGCAAAAACAAAGTAATGTGGGGGCCTTGGGTCCCCCCCGCCCGCACCCCTCCCCCGCCCCCCCCGCCCCACCCAAACATCCCCAAACCATAACTTCACCTTCACGCTTGACTTCTTTGGGGGCCGGGGGGTCTGAAACGAAACAAGGATTAAGTCAATGCTTTCCGTGGGTGGGGGCGGGGGGGGGGGGGGGCCTGCGCATGCCTTTAACTACTGATGAATCCAGCGAATTGGGGGTTTACGATATCAGAGGTACCTTATTGGGGTCCGTATTATAAGGGGATCCTGCTATTTGGGGATCTCAAGGGGTCCATTGTTATCGCAAATCCCCAATTTGTACACCGCAGCGTCGCAACGCCTTTAGGAGCTACGAGTAGCTTTCATGAGTTGGCGGAATCTGAACGCGCAGCAGGCCAATCTTGCAGCATTGTATTTCTGCAGATGCTGCGGACCCGTCTACTCTCGCTACTCCAAGAGTGAGAGTCTGAGACATATTCTGTCACATCCGCGCTGTAAGGGTCTGCATGAAGCCAGTCTGCGTGCTAAGTGCCCAGCAGCAAGCCAAACCAGCCAAGATGACCTTGGAAAACTTGCCCAGAACCCCGAGACCAAAGCTTGTGGCTCTTGATTCGGGATGCTCTATATAAGGTTTGGAGCATCTTGAGCAACGTGGGGCCAGAGAGCTTGGGGTTTAGCCTTTTCTTCAGCGCCACATACACTTGGGTAGACGCACATTGACACACGCCGGTCCGAAATCCGCAGTAGGCCTAAGGTCGACATCAAGAGGTCCGGAGGTCAAAGGCATCACACAAGTCCCACTGGGCCCGGGTGCATCAAGAGGATGTTGTTCAGATTGAAGTAGAAGAAGCCGAAGACTAACCTCGATGTCCCCATGCGCAGGGCAGGCATTTAGGCAAGAGATTGCTGCCCTCATCCGGCCAGCACTCTGTTGCGGGTCTCAGCTTCAAGGGCAAATATACCCTGGAATTCATCATGCATGATAGACAAACCGATTGGCTTCAAAAAAACACATGTACACCTGTGACGAAACTTAAGCTTTTGCCATGCAGAGGCCTTTCACTGAAGAGGCTGGAGGCCCAAACTCTTCACGCTTGTCAGATGTTGCTGTTAGGGTTTGGGGTTTAGGGTTTAGGGTTTTAGGATTTAGGGTTTAGGGTTTAGGGTTTTAGGATTTAAGGGTCCCTATAGAGCCCCCCAACAGCCCCAAGAGCAGACACTCCTCCAAGGCCGCCACAGCCACTGGAAGCAGAGAAGCACTGTGTAGACCTGAGACCAACAACCATGGAGCGCAGCTAAAAGTCGTTGCTTCGGGGCTCCGGACAAAATTTTGGGGGTTTTACGATAATAAGGGACCCCTAATCTCGACCCCCAAATAATCGGATCCCCTTATAAGGAGGACCCCGATGAGGTACCCCTCATATCGTAAACCCCCATTTCAGGTTTGTAGTGTTCTCTGGCACTTGCAAACCGAAACCCTCAAGACCTGAAGCCCCAAGCCCTGTACGCCCTGAGCGAAAAAACCTCCAACAGAAACCCTGGGTCTCTTTCTGGGTCCCGTATATAAGGCGTCTAAGGACATTGAATTCCTCCCTCAACCCTCAACCCTCAACCTGAACCCTGAACCCTCAACCCTCAACCCTAAACCCCAAACCCAAACCCTGATTGAACGTGGGTCTGTGGGTGTCTCCGAGGCGCCCAGAGGAAGTCCATGATCTCTGAAGGCAGCGCCACCCTGAGAAGCGGCTCTTGAGGCTGCGGGGAGGGTTTAGGGTTTGGGGTTTGGGGTCTGGGGTTTGGGGTTTGGGGTTTGGGGTTTGGGGTTTGGGGTTTGGGGTGTGGGGTTTGGGGTGTGGGGTGTGGGGTGTGGGGTTTGGGGTTTGGGGTTTGGGGTTGTGTTCAGCACAGACGGAGTCTGAGATCAGGAACATTCGGGGGAGCAATCTCTGGCGGCCTACTTGGTCGAAGCCTTGTTTCCTAATCTTCGACACAGCCTTGGACATGTGTTGGCCTAAACCCCTAAATCCCTAAAGCCCCAAAACCCCTAAACCCTCATGCCCCGTACACTCATCCCTTGTGGAGTCAACACCGGAAACCGGCCCTGTCCTTCAACTAAGGGCCCGGCGCCAGTGCTGCGCAAAAAACAAGCCTGCACGCAAAGCTCGCACGTATGAATGAACATCGATGTGTTTATATTCATACTCATGCCTATACGCACATCCATGTTTACACCTACAGATCCATATTCATAGCGAATATTCGCATTTTCTTGTGTTCTTTATACGTATGTGTATATATACATACATACATACATACATACATACATACATACATACATACATACATACATACATACATACATACATACATACATACATACATACATACATACATACATACATACATACATACATACATACATACATACATACATATTATATATATATATATATATAGTTATACTATGGTTTCTTGTGTAATACACCGTATCGGTAGGCCAAAGGGTTTGAGCTCATGAGGGGCGTCATATTTGGTGTTTCTCTTTACGGTAAAAAGGATGATTGGAGCTGGGTTTCCTTAGTGTACCTTTTGGGGTCTGGAGAGAAGGATGCTCCAACTTTTTGGAGTTCACCGTATGCTTGGCAGATGCCTGCACTCCTTTGTTGGGGGGAGCTCTGCCCGGATCGAAAGGAGGCGAGCTCGAGCTCTGCCCGGATCGAAAGGCGGCAAGCTCGAGCACGGCGAGCTCGTCTAAAAAATTCCGCTGGTGCCGTTTTGGCAAGATTTTACCATGGGTGCCTATGGGTGCAGAATCTTGCACTCGCTGTCAGCATGTTTGACAAAAGTAACGCCAAGGCGTGCCCGGCTGCTGCCAAGCGCGAAGCATGACGACAACCTGGCTGGTCCGCCTGCACAAGGGGATCTGTGTGCTCGCACACGGTATTCACCGAACAGTCTATGCCGTGCTATCGATCCTGCTTTGAAGATCGACGAGTAAACTTTTTAAACGCTTGAAACGGAGGAGTGGCGAGAGGCACTCGAGCACTCGAATTCCCATGCAAGTTCCACTTCTACTGGAGCCAGCTCAGGATCTCTTGCACTTTGTCCTGGTTATCGGGGCGGGCAAAAGCACCAATGATATCTTTCACGAAAGTGGCGTAATCCTCATAAGCCTTGCCACCGATCCCAAGGCCCGACAAGACACTGATGACATGCACCTTCACCGAGCGACCTCCTGAAGTGCCAAAGTAGTCGTTCTGAGCAGTTGTGAGCTGCAGGGTTCCGATGCTCAGGGAGTTCAGGGTCGTCGTGTCTGGTGGAAGGTAGAAGAAGGTCTGCTGCTCCTCCCACTGCGCATCGATCTCCTCCTTTGACTCCTCGAAGAGTTGGAAATTCGCATAGCAAAGAGGGCACAAGTCAACGAAAGGCACATCGAAGATCTGCCGTGATCCCTCTTGCTTCCCGGTCTGTGAGACACTCGTTGGCATGTCTGCGAAGACCACGATCTCATCTGCGCCAGAGACGAGGGAGTGTCCAATGCCGGAATTGTCGCCCACGCCCCCATCAGCAATGCCAAAGAAACTCTTCTCCGCCAGCCGGTCCAGCTCCTCCTGTCCGATATCACCTCCCGAGTTGTAGAGGAACTTGATGACCTTCACGGCATCCTGAAAGGCCGCCTTGTCACTTTCTGCCTTCTGAGCCCAGACGATCCAGTTGATGTTCAAGGCATTTTGTAAGCCCTGGGAGAGGAAGTCTGCAAACCAGGGTGGGATGCCCTCAAAGCTGTCCAAGAAGCCCTTTACTGCCCTTGCGATCTGTTCGGCAAAGCCTTGCTTGTTCAAGGGGATCGCTGACAGGGGCCCCAAGAAGGCAGAGGAAGCTGCCACAGCCTGGATCACGGGAGTCTCCGTGCCGAAGGCGTAGAGGCCCTTGGGTGATGCTGCCCACGGGTCTCCTTTCGTCCGTGTCACCCCGCTATAGTGGAACTCGAGGTCTGAGCAGTCATGGCAGAAAATGGCACTGGGCACGTCTGGCATACCCAATTTCACGCTGAAGGCGGCGGGTGCCCAGGAGGACATGGCCCGGGTCGCAGTACTGGGGCAAGAGTAGGTCACGCCGAACGTACCGTTCCGGTACACTTCCACGGAAGGACCGTGATACAGCTTGGCGATGCACAGCGGTCGGAAAGCGGAGCTTGCGCAAGATCCTGGACCAGTACCATTTCCGGCACTGGCCACCGACACGGACACCAGCCAAGTCTTGTTGCTGGCCCAAGGATTGGTCTTGCTGCCCAATGTATCTTGGCTGGACATGTCTCCCATGGTGTTGAGGATCTTTCCAACAAAGTCCTCCCAATTCCCGTGCTGATGAAGAAAGGCATAGATGACCTCGAAGAGAATCTCAATGAAATCAATCAAGATCCAAAGTTTTCCCCTTGTTGCTGGCAACTTGTGGAAACGGTCATTCTTCAACACCGTCTGCGGGACACTTGTTGGCTTCGGAGGATTCCACGGGGTCGAAGGACCAGTGCTCTTCGTCAGCAAGGAGTCCAAGAGCGGCACCACCCAAGACTTCCAGAACAGCTTCGCGGCATCGTCGGGCTTCTTGCCCATCTCTTCAACGAGGGACTGAAAGGCCGGAGAATAAATCAGCTGAGCTGAGAACCACGTTCCTCCACTTATGGACACCAAGACTTCGACTGCACGAAGCAACTCCTCCAAGCCGAGCCCGGAAGCACCCAGCAAACCGCTCATTACGCCCGTAAAGGCTGAGTGTGCTTTGAATCCGCCACCTTCAAATGTCATCGCAAGCTTGCGCGCTGCAGCTTTCCCTGTCCCAGATCCGCCTGGTCTAGCCCTCTTCTGCACCATCAAGGCCTCGTCCATCTCTCGACCTGGACATGCCTCGTCTTGGCACACGGCAGCTGCCAGCACCGGCAGCGCGAGTGCGATAGTGCAAATCAAGCCTTTTGAGCATATCATGGCAGTCTTCGCCGAAGCTTTGGGTGGAGGGCAAGCACAAGAGGCCAGATCCCAGAAGCAGTTTCCCTCCTACTGCACGCAAGGGCGCGTCGTCGCCATGTCAACTTAGTCCTGCCTGCCGATGAGCTTCCCCACAAGAACCGAGCAAGGCCTGAGTTGGCTGAGCACACAGGATCGTGAAAATCTGTTCAGGCTGGTTGCTCTGGCCTGAGTGCTGCAAGGTAGAAAGAAGCTGGGTCTGGGCTGTACTGCAGGAAGTCTGGCACTACTCTGAGCACCACACACATCAGTCCAGTAGAGGATGGCATCGGTTAGCCCGCACTCAAAGAGTGTGCGGGGCATCTTGTTCCTCAGATGACACGACCCAACGGAGGCCCTTGAACATGGGACCATGTTCCTTCCAAAGGAAGTAGCTAACCCTCAGCAGTTCCTCGATGTCAGGAACATTCCAACCACATTGACTGCGGCGCTACAAGTAGATGGTTAGTTCTCTACATTACGGTCCGGTTTGTGCCCCAGTCAACCCCGTACACTGAGAGTGCTCACAAGGCCAGCATACTTCGGGCACTTCCCAACATAGGCGGACCCGCTAATAGCTTACCTCCAAAAACTGTGGTCCTTACTGCAGGATCCCCGAATAATAGGGCACGCCATATTTTCGGAAGCCCTTGCTTAGAGAATTTGTTTCGAGAACTGACCCAATGCTCCAGGCAGGTGGCTTTCGGCCACGGTCCACGACGTCGTCGAGCTCGGCCTCTGACATCCCTGCGCGTCCTGGGCAGAAGAAAGGCTTTGGGCTTAAAGCCCTGAGGGACGTCTGGCTTCAGAATGTCTACGCATGTAGAAGCATGTTTAAGTAAGACTGTGTAAGACTGCTTCAGCATGCTTAAGAATGTTTAAGAATTTTCAAGACTGTGCAAGCAGGGGCACATACTGGGCACATAGAGATTCAGCAACTTGCTCGGAAGCCGGCCGTTGATGAAGCCATTGAAATCGCGCAGGTCCTGCACAGCTCTGAGACGTTGCCCCAGATGCGCAGAAGACATCGTCAGTTGTCGGTTCCCACCACATCCCTCTCAAATGCTCAGGTGGCATACGAGTTGTCATCTGACCCCAAGTCCTACCCCTTATTAGTGCTAGCAAGTACGATTCAAAGGACTGAACAGTTCATGTGGCATAATGCACAGGGAGCCTTTCGACAAAACAGCAAGCCTAACTTGCACAAGCTGCATGCCAAGGCAGAGTCCTGGGTGATCAGCGTGCATCTCGCAAACGGCGCGAAGATCACGGGCGTCACGATCTGAAGAGCAACCGCTACTTCAGATTTGTAACGCTTTCACACTTGCCCAAGAGAGTCCACGAACAGTTTCACGACTTCTGCAAAGGCAAAGCCCCGACTCAAGCTGCCCCATCACTGAGCTCCGCACCCAGAAAGTGAAAGAGATGACTACCAGAAACATGGGCAGCTGCCCCTGGCGAGGAGCAAGTCTTGGGTCTTACAAACTGACTATCTCTGAAAAACAAGCGCATCTTGCATCTTCTTGTTTTGCTGCTCGTGTACAAGTTCCCGGGCTCTAGTCCATATAAGCCATGAGTCGAGCCATGGTCGCTCCCTGCAAACGCTTACAGCATCTAGCTCGGATGACGTTGAAACCTAAACCAAAGCTGTGGCTTTGGGGCCCCCAGGGCCCTAAGGCCCGACTCAGTTCACACGGTCAATTCAGGTTTCATAGGGAGCTCCTGGCCTGAAACGTTTGGCTGGCAAGTAGGTTGTAGACGATGTACAAAACCATCAGACCTTGACAGACAGCAAATGAGCAATATTCCCAAAACCTGTGGACAAGGAAGCTGCGCGCCACGCGAAAGAATGAAAGCAGCACGAAGCTGCACACTCTCCGACTTGCATGACTTCCAGGTAGGTGATGAACAATGGCTCCAACCACAGCTCATCCGACCCGAACTCTGAGCAAACGGCCCCCAAACCCACGCCCTGAGCACACCGAAATCACCAAACAGGATGTGAACTTTAAACCCTAAACCCTGCACCCTGAACCCTAAACCCAAAACCCTATGTAATACCATCGGGGTACATAAACGCGTTGGAAAGGGGTGACCAGGGCCCCCTCGGATCGAGGGCGTGTAGTGCGACTTGAAGTAGTTGCAGTAGTTATCCTGCAGCCGCTGCCGTCCACGATTTTGGGACAGCGACCAGTTTGGGTTAGGGATACCGGGCAGTTCTAGCTTAGGAAGTTTAGGGCGCACAAGGTGTAGGGTTAGGGCACCATATGCTCCGGGCGATGTTCAATTACGTATCTGCAGCTGGCAAGCTTCGGCACAGGGCCTGCCGTTTGGGTGCCAGGGGGAAGCGACTTCATTTTGCTAGGCGTGCGTCGGATGCCGAACCGCACAGAAAGAAATGAGGGTTGTAGCGCTTGAAAGCTCTCCGAGGCTTGGTCCCAAAGCCGAGCCAACAGCCAGCCATGCTAGTGATCCATCAAAAGAATGGAACTTCGGTAAACCAGATGCGCGTTATGAAGTGTTCTAAATCAAGGCCATCATTGGCATATGCCAGCTAGCTTGGGAAGCTGCATTCAGAACCCTGAACAGCTCCACGTAAGCTGCATCCTTCCAGGTCTGGTGCAGGTTCGCCAGGGGCCGCCCAGTGCCCGCGTACCTTCGTTTGAGAGACCAGCTGCTCCATGTCAAATGGGCTTGAGAACAAGCTCCAGGTGCCCTAAAAAGGCCAAATCCGCAACCCCCTAAACCCTAAACCCTAAACCCCAAACCCTAAACCCTAAACCCTAAACCCCTAAACCCTAAACCCTAAACCCCGGTGCTTCTTCTGTCGGCGCCGTGCCTGGCCAGCCCCGAGATGGCGCCAGAGCGCATTGCCTTCCGGCGGGGGTCATTTCAGCTCCGACTTCGCTACACTAATCTTTGCATGCTGTTTTAGAAGGCTGATACTTGAGGGGTTGCTCACAATCAACCCCCTATCAATGGGATGCTGGGGATTGATATCGATTGAATGCCTTTTACAAGCCCCAAATCCCCACGGCTTTGGTGCCCCTCTGAACCGAAAGCCTAAACTTCTACACCGGAAAGCCCAGTCGAAAGATGATCGAAAGGTCCTTGTCTGTGCCGGTATGTAGCGGCAGCAAGTCTGCGAGTATGGCCACGGCTCATGCAAACTTCACGAGCCCTCAAACCTCAGCCACAAACCCCAGTTACACCCAAACCCTGAACCCTAAACCCTGAACCCTAGAACCCAACCTCGAGCCCCAACATACACCTAAACCTACTTCACGCTGCGCCTTGACTCCCAGGTCCCCAAAAATATTCTGGGGTCCCCAGCGGCTGCGATGCTTTTGTTTTGGAAAATGAAGAACATCGTCGATGCCTCGGTGCACGCTGGGGTGGCACCGCTCCGTCGCTCCGGGTATGATGACCATGCCGGGTTTAGGGTTTAGGGTTTAGGGTTTAGGGTTTAGGGTTTAGGGTTTAGGGTTTAGGGTTTAGGGTTTAGGGTTTAGGGTTTAGGGTTTAGGGTTTAGGGTTTAGTGTTTAGGGTTTAGGGTTTAGGGTTTAGGGTTTAGGGTTTAGGGAGCTCCAGCCAAATTTGATCACGCACTCAAGCTCACAGGGCTGAGGGTCAAAAGCATACTCTGACTACCTAGGAGGAGCCATCTTGCAAAAGGACTGATAGCACTTTCTGAACCATGAAACGATGAGCAAGGATAACATTCAGGGCCAATGGCAGAGAGCTCAGAGTTCACGGGCAGCGACTCTGCTGAACTGATGAACCAAAGCAGCAGATGTGAGGATGACTCAAGTTTCGTCCCTGTTGTAGAGATATTTACATGCGTATTCTGCTCGAGCATGCATATCACTCCTGATCGTAAACAGCTGCGAGGCTCCCACCGGAAGGCCACCGAAGACCTCCCTGCACGCCCGGTTGGCGCCAAACCTCGGGGGTTTGGAGCATAAAAGTTGCATTATCGTGCTTTTTATTATTAGTTTTTATTCTATTATGACATTATCGTATATCATATTATGTTGCATATTTTCTCTATATAGTATTATATAGGGTCTTATAGGGAGCCTTCAAGTTGCCACTTTGGACAGTTCGGCGGTCGAGGGGTGTGAAGATGGCGGACGCTCGGTGGGGGGGGGGGGGACGTCCAGGCACCGCGAGGAGGTCTTAAGGCTCAGGAGCTGCATTGCAGGGTTTAGGGTTTGGGGTTTAGGGTTTAGGGTTTGGGGTTTGGGGTTTGGGGTTTAGGGTGTGGGGTTTAGGGTTTGGGGTTTCTAGTTAGGGTTCGGGGTTTCGGCTTTGGGGTTCAGGGTTTAGGAGAAAGCTCACTGGACGAGGCATCTGCTCGAGGATCATCTCGCACAATTGCGGGAAAAGACCTGGCCGGCATCACGAATGTGCCCAAGCCATTCTATTAAACCTTTCAGCTGGGATATTCACCCCTTATACTAACAGTCCTTAATAGGGATTCTAGTAGGGGGGGGTACTATAGTCCCCACTAAGGAATTGTTAGTATAAGGGGTGAACAGCCCAACCTTAAAGCCTCAAACGGAAGAACCCCTGAACCCCCAAAAAAGGCATGGCTGCCATGGCTGCGAGTCAGAAACCGAGCATTTTATCCCGGGCCCGGACTCATGATGCCCAGCGACAGCAGCCACTCCTAGGCGAGCCGAGGGCTTTGGCGGAGGTTCTGGGTCTTCCCCGCGGTTCTTAGTAGGGAGTGAAGGAATTAGGGCCCTATATCATCCCTTAAAGGGTCCCTCATTCACTCATTCCCTACTAAGAACCAGCCAGTCTTCAGGGTCTAAATGGTTCATGGGCTTGGGATTCATGGGATTCTTACATGAGGCCTGTTGCTGAGCTTGATGTCCGTTCATTGTTCATGGGGAGGTTCCCCCTTCTACTAACAGCCCTTAATAGGGACTATAAACGGGGTACAATCCCTGGTAAGGACTGTTAGAAAAGGGGGAACATCCCAATCCGTTCACATGTTCTGGTGCCACCCTGCATGCAGAGCCCCTTGGATATGGCACCTTGGAAGTTCGTAGGCATGGGGTCCAGGCCGATCCGAGGAGCAATGGCCCTAAACCCTAAACCCTAAACCCTGAACCCTAAACCCTAAACCCTGAACAACCCAAAACCCTAAACCCTAAACCCTAAACCCAAACCCTACTCTACAGATCCCGAAGCCTTATAGACTGGTAGGCTAGTTGGCCCTGAACCCTGAAGGTTCAAACCCTAAACCCTAAACCCTAAACCTTAAACCCTGAACCCTAAACCCTAAACCTAAACCCTAAACCTAAACCCTAAACTTCCTAAACCCTAAACCCTAAACCCGAAACCCGAAACCCTAAACCCTAAACCCGAGAGCCATCCTGCGAGTCCCCCGGCCCCATTGAAGGAGGAGCCCAACGCGGAGAGCTTCGTCAAGTCGATGTTGGCCTTGCCAAGGATGTTGGGGAACAGGGGTTTAGGGTTTAGGGTTTAGGGTTTAGGGTTTAGGGTTTAGGGTTTAGGGTATAGGGTATAGGGTTTAGGGCAAAGTTTAAGGTTTAGGGTTTGGGGTTGGGTCTTGGGAGTTTGTAAACCCTACAGGCTTTGTGTGATCATGGGGCTCTTGAGTTTTTGCGGCTTAGATAGGGGCTAAGGAATGAGTACACTATGTTGGAGGCCGCTGGAAAAATGGCCACAATTTCGATCAACCTCAACTGACCTCGGGAAAGAGCAATTGAAAGTCTCCAGCTAGAAGAAACCTTGGGTACCCCAAAGATAAGGGCCACATTCAAAGCGTGGACCCGGGGCTCGACTTCAGGGAACTGCACACGTTGGAGAGAAAAACCGTGGGTTTAAGCATCGGGCGCCGAAGCAGGCCTCGTTACAAGGTTGAGGGCTTAGCGTTTCAGAGCTCAGGCTTCGGGCTTCATGGGGCTTCAGGGCTTCATGGGGGTTCTGAGGTCTGCGCGAGCGTGAAAACGATAAAGAGGGTGACCTGGCACAGAAGTGAAGGGGGCGGCGGCCTAACAGAGCTCCATTACACAAGGGGGGATTGGGTAGGGGGCTGTTTAGGTTTAGGGTTTTGGTATGGGGTCAGTGGCCCTGGCCATCTAAGCCTAATCCCTCAACCTGAACCTGCAGCTCAGCCACATACAAAGTGATGGAGAAATCGATCAAGAGGTTGCTAACCTGAGGCAAGCAGCGCGCAGGCGAAACAAGGCTCAACATGCAAGCTGAGGATTCGTACGTGGGCAGAAAACATTCGAGATTCTTGAGAGTGTGCTGACTTACAAACATAACACCTTGCAGTCTCCGCCGCACACTGCAGGCACAATCCTTTGAAATCAACATGGAGCAACGATCTCTGCAGCCAGGAGGCGTAGAATGCAACGGATGTAAAGTAAAACGATAGGGAATGAAGAACACCAATCCTGCGCTCACATGAGCTAGCGTGCACTTACAGCCATGCGGGGGCCATAGACCTCACATCATCGCTATCTGCACGCATATCTGCACTCACTTTCGACCTGCCTTTGCGAAAGCCTGTTGCCAAAAAGCATAGTATTACAAGTTTAGAGTTACAAGTTCACAATACTATTTCGAACATATCGACACTAGTAGCCAACATGATGAATTTTATTCAGAACATAACCGTGCCAGAGTGCCGCAACCTTGGCCTGGACAACCCCTCTGAGGCAGGCCTTTCGCAAAGCAGGTGGTTGTCTCGTGAACGAATTATGCCCACGCTTCCCGCGGAAATCTTCGAAAAGAAGAGCGACCTGAGTTCAGTCAGGGATGCCTCGGGGCATCTCCCGATCCCTTTTGGGGCTTCATGCTTCAAGCAGCACCCTGGCCAAAAAACGCGCCCATGTCCGATAGGCCTACACAGCCCATCACAACTCGCCATCTCTAAGTGCCGAGCGCGGCATTGAAGGCAGCCTGTCACACTGCGGGCTTTACGTCCGCTTAAGTCTGGCACGCCTAAGGAGAACATCATTAGAAGTCCAAATCCCGCATACGGAAGGACTTCCGAGTTTTTGGAGGCTCCAAACAGGGCCAACTGTGAGTTCGAGATGACTCGAGGGGGTCGCATTGGCACGGTTCGGGATTTGGCTTCAGCCTTACCTGTGGAAGTGCGAGAACCAGAGCCCTTGACCACTGATTTCTTAGCAATGCGAGGCACCTCGCGCCCCTTCTCGAACTCTAACACGTCCACGTGCGGCGACGCTTCGGCGCGCATGTGGAGGTTGTAACCTCAAGGCGACATGAGCATGAGGCGACCCATGGCAGCACACAGCCATGACCTTCAGCAGGTGGGCATGATGCCTGTATCTCATGCGAACTGCACAGTTTTTCAGGGTTTTAGGCCCGGCCTGCAAAAATGTCCTCGCTGAGGTTGACGACGGCTGAGCCTTTACCTGGCTTTCAAAACATCCACACTGGCAGGCACGCTAGATACCTTTAAAGTATACTTGGATATCTGATACACAGGTCTCCAAGATGGGACTCATACCTGTAAGTGCATCGTCCTGGAACCTACGTTATGCCGTCTGCTCCGCTCCTGGGTAAGCATGCCGGACAGGCTCATTCCACCTCGATTTCGCGCCCAAAAGGCGCAAACAAAATCTGGATGACCGTAGTGCATTCGGATGCCCATACCTCAAGTTGGTGGAGGAGGAGCACGCAAAATCTTGGAACAGCTGCCTATCGAAGATTCGCCACGAAAGCAGATCAAGAAAGCACAGTACACGGGGACAGTGAAGGATGCAAGAGTTCTCGCACTTGGGGAAAGCGCGCTTCGACACGCATGGTTTTTTGCAGGTGTGGGGGCTTGAGGCTCACGGAGCCAACAAGTCCTGAAGACCGGAGACCCCCCAGGCAGCAGGATCTCTCCGGCGCATCGCTGAGCCAAGGAGCCGCTCAGAAAGCGCTGATAGATGGTCCCGAAGGTCCACTCAGCCGCGGCATGGCATTTCCCCACCTTAAGAGCTGGGCCTCTCTTCTTCCGCTGCTCGGGCTCACTCGCGGCTTACCAGGGATACATAGGGATAACTGTGTCGCACATCGGAGGGCCTAGAGATTCTGTCGGCTTGGAGATTCCTTGCCCGGGTGCCCAGCTGTCCCTTCCCGGCCGGTGTAGATGTACTCCCGGAATCCCAGATAGCGGCAGCGGGATGCCACACCTTTGCAGCTAAAGAGCGCCCGGACTCGGGGATAATCATGGAGACACCCATCAACACCTATCAACACCTGGCCCTTTGACCGTGATGATGGGAGCCTTGCACGTCAATCACGCCTCGTGCCAGAAACTGAGGAGTGAAACAAGAGGTTGAGCAGGTCTGGGTCGCTGGCGGTTTTTCTGGCCCAAGGGCAGAAAACGCCGAAGCACGTACGGAATCTGGCGCTGTCACTGTAGGCTGTGGATGCGGCAGGCACAAGAAGATAAGCACAGCGCAAAAGAGCTCTAGCTGGCAAGCCTAGCAAACCAGCGTCCGTACGCAGGACCGGCCATGAGACAGGAATCCAGAAGACGACGAGTTCGTAAAACCTGAACCTGAAATCCTGCATCCACGAAGCCTTGAAAGCCTCGCCGATGAAGGCTCCCATGTTGCAGTCGAGCGCCTCGCCAGAGCAAGAGCCCAAACCCCCGACGAATGAGATGAGAGTGCACAGCCTTTGGAAGCTGCAGACATTCAGGGTCATTGCCACCACCTTTGATTCGTGTGGCTATGCCTGAAAGAGTCAGAGCCAAAAACTCGACTTCAACGCTAGAGGCTCGGAGGCCTTTCCCAAACCCCTCTGCCACCACGGGCCTGAATGCGGTGACCCGCTGCAAACCAGAGGGCATTCATCTGGTTACAGGCCTGTTGGGCAACACCAGCTTGCATCTTGATGCCCCAGCCGCCCTGATCCTGTAAACCTTAAATCACCTAAGCGGACCTAAGCGACATGAATTATCTCATACTGGCTGCAATGGGTTGATGATCCCGACCGGAGCGCTGCAAACTCTGCAAAACAGAATCCTTTTTGATCGCGCCGGAGCAGCCAGCCCTTGGATCGAGGCACGCGATACATCCAGTCTGCACGGGCAGCATGCCTTGGGAGCAGGACATCATCACTGCAGATGTGTTGTACAGTAACTGTCTGGTCGCCGTCGCGTAGCCAGAGGGGCTTGATCATGACCGGCGGGCCACAGAGAAGTGCCCTGGGTTACCTTGGCCCGAGCTGCCTGGGGCTCTTGCGGCCGGAAGCCTTCCTGCACTGCGCCGCGATGCATCCAGCTTGGGACGGGTGTGGGTGGACTGCGGGGACCGCCTTGAGATATTGGGGGGGCCTGTTTTTGGCTCAGGCCACGAGGGAATCCACCTCCTCTGCAGCACCGATGGCTTCAGCTTCCTTGGCTTCCTTGGCCTCCTTCCTGGGCTCCTTGGGCTCCTTGTCCACAAACATGAAGTGCTCGCCGAAGCGCTCGAAGAGCCAGGGCTCCAGGAGGGCCACGAGCCCCAAGAGCGAGGCCTGGAAGCACCAAAAGGAGCCCCACTCGCGTCCGAGGATCAAGATGAGTATCGCTGCGTTGAGGCCCACAAAGGCTAGGCAGGGCAGCACGTAGGAGGGGCGGTGGGACATGAAGCCCCCGATGCTGGCGATGAAGTACAGCAAGAGATTCCCAGCAGAGAGGGCCCGGCCCAGCAGGCTGCCCCAAAGACCGGGGAGGAAGTTGTACTGGATATTCAGCACCGGCCAAATCTGGTGGTGCCACGGCCCAGGGTACGTGCAGACCGAGGTCATCCAACCAAATCCCTGGCCAACGATTTGCACGAGCGCACCGCCTGCCCCACAAAGGCAGGCGAAACCCAAGAGGCTTCGGGAGAACTGCCGAAGCTCTGGCGCGACATCAGACTGTACGTCCGGGCACAACAGTGGCTGCGAGCACATCCACGCAGGAACCGCGCAGACCAAGTAAGCGATGATGGCCGACACGGTCCGATTGGTCGCATCACACTCCGTTGAAGATGAGCCTATGTGTGCCCATAAAACAACTTGCAGCCACTCCTGCAGCACCAGCGGCAGAATCAGAGATGCATTGGGGCGGTCGTACCGCCGCCCTCGGGAGCACAGCGCCAGGAGGCATAGAGTTTCCAAGGAAGCTGCCGCCAGCGTGACTTCAAAGGTCCAGCACATGGCGGCGAACCCCTTCAGTGCACCCGGATGCACCAGACTACAGCGCCGTTTAAACTTCCGCTATTCCAACCAACCTATCAACAAGACATGGCTCTCATAAATCAAGTTCCTTCTAGTATACTAGAGCTCTGTCAGAAGCTTCAGCCCGGCCTTGCCCTGCGTCTTGTAGTTTCCTTCGCCTGACGACGGCTCCGGGATGCAATGGCTAAGAGTGACAAGCAAAGAGCATTTGCTCAGTTGTGTGAGGTCTCCCGTCACAGGTCCCAAGCTCTGCCCCGGGCCTATCCGCAGGGGAAACATCCGTGGCAGCACCTTGGATCCAAGTGCAATGGGCTGGATGTGGCAAAGGAGCAGCTTCAATCTTCAACGCAGCTGCAGTGCAAGCGAGGTAATCCTTCGGTAAGAGTAGCCCAAGTCTCTGAACACAAAGCAGCGGCATACGCACACCTACGCAGTCGCACGCACTGGAACACCGAACTTGCCTTTCGCCTGGCATCCTGAACCCGATTGCGTCCAAGGCACTTCCACGACGGTGAGGCCCATTTCCCGGTCCCACCTGCATTCGAAAGGCATGCTCACAACGACTTTCAGGGCCCTTGGAGACGATGCCCCCTCCACATTCATAACAATAATAATAAGAAGAAGAACAATAATAAGAAGAAGAATAAAAATATAATAATGGGAGGGGGCACTTAGATCATAAGTCTTGTTGTTGGGGTCGCAATTACACCACAGCATTTAGGTGAGGACAAGCAAGACCGACGGTAGTTGGACAAACCACAGCTAAGCAGCTCCAAACCAGACAAGCTGTTGCATGCCACCGGAAACACACAGCCAGCCAGCAATGAAAAACACAAGTCAGCTGCTGCAGGGCTTCGCTCACAAGTCTATCGGTTCTGGAGGGACGCGATGCAGTTCCTAAACCTTCCGTCAGATCGATCCTTCTGCCAGAAAACCGGTGGCATTCAGCGCGTACCTGCATTTCACGCTGGCATACTTGAAGGGGATGTTCTCCACTCCTGGCTTTGGTGAAGAATGCAGCGTGGTCAGTTGCAGGGTTTGGCATTTGGGGTTTAGGATTTTAGGGTTCAGACTCTTCACTCACAGGTCTTCCCGGTCAATTGGACCCCACTCATCTGCACTGTGATTCGACCGTCTGCCCGGCTGCTGCGATGCCTATACTTGTCGGTCCTGCCCTGGATTCACTGTTTAGTAGCGACAGCTCTTCACTCCAAGCCAAGGGGGCAGCTGAACGCTCCCAGTCTGGACATGAAGGTGAATCAGAGTGAGCAGCACAAAACGCGTCCTACACAACTTCAAGAGATTGCGAAAGAACCCCTTAGCAGAAGATTCTTGCACATTAAAGAAGAGCTCGAAAAGCGTTTGGAAACTGCCGCGTGCCTATGCCAGAGGCGCCTTCCCTCAAAGGCACTTCATCGCCTCTGGGCGCAACACTCCACAGCAAGTTGCTTCAAGTTGTTTCTTCAAGTTGCTTCAAGTTGCTTCTTCAAGTTGCTTCAAGCTTTCAAGTCTGCCGATGGAGGCTGATGGAGCCCGCGGGACTGCTGCAGCACATCCACAGCACGAGTAGCATCGGCAGCGGCTGTTGCGGCACAGAAGTCCGAGACCCCGCCGGCCTCCTTTGTACTCTCCGGAGTCCTGCGCTTGGCGGTAGCATTTGACAAAAATCGGTTTCGTGCCGAAGCCATCAAGGCGTGGAACGGAGCAAATGCAACGCCGCTACGGCACGCAGCTGTCAGAACCGGCCTTCACTGACTTCCAGACGAGATTCCGCACTTCGGCACCTGTCTTCTCATTCACGTCGAAGACAAGGTAAACAGGATCGTCTGCATACCTCGCCGGGGGGGAGCTCCCTGTCATGGTGTGCTTGGTCAGTTCATGCCACTTGTGCGGCTTGGCGATTACAACTGGGCTGCCAGCCCCAACGTGACTTTGTCAGGTGGATCAAAGGTGTGGCCAAAAAGTTCGATGTTATCCCCGTTCACTATACCGGCATGCTTCATCTGCCATGAGAAAGTTCGAGTCAAGCACGGGCTTGCCAGCCGATCAGGCGTTGGTTCGGAAAGTGGGAAGGCATCAACATCAGAGAAAAAACCGTGCTACAGCATAGGTACAGGCGATAAACAAAAGCTTCCCAATAAGAAAAGCCGGAACAGATTGATGATGATGATGATGATGAGGATGGTGATGGTGATGTTGATGTTGATGTTGATGATGATGATGATTGATTTTGTTGTTGATGATGATGTTGATGATGATGATGATGATGATGATGATGGCGATGATTTATGTTGTTGATGCTGATGATTGATGATGATTATGATTGATGTTGTTGGTGGTGATGATGTTGATGATGCCGATGGTTGATGTTGTTGATGCTGATGGTTGATGATGGTTGATGCTGGATGATGATGATGATGATGACGATGATGACGATGATGATGATTGATGTTGATGCGGATGTCGATGATGATGATGATCCTAAAACCTTAACCCTAAGCGGCGAGCCCTAAACTGAACCCTTACAAACTTTACCCCAACGCCCAAACTCTAACCTCAAACTCCATACCATCCATATCCTCAGAGCTTTCGGTGTGTAGGGTTTAGGGTTGGGATTCAGGGGGAAAGAGGCTCGTAAACCCTGAGCCCCTACACCCAGAGCAGTGCCCCTCAACCCTAAACCCAGAACCCTAAACTTGGGGTCGAGCCCGTGACTTGGGGGTACTCGGTCTTGCGAAGACCCTGAAGATCCATGAGCCGCTTTGTCTGGCCGTCACTGAAGCTGTATAACGTTTCTGCGCGCGTTGTTGATGGGAACAGGTACAAGCACGGCCTAGTACCGAGTCCTTCTGACAAAGGTGCCACGCCGGCACACAGAAGAGGCGTACAAGACCACACTCTCCAGGCAGGGTGCCCCGCTGCGAACGAGAACTGTCAGGTGCCAAGAGCGTGCGCATCTTAAACCCTAAGCCTTCAACACCGAATCACTCACACCGAATCGTACGAAGCGGGACGCTCCCTACACACCTTGGCTGCTATGCGAACAGGAGGAAACGACATACGAGGCGCAAGCGACGCTGTTCAGGTCAGCTGACCACAAACGGGCTTCAATCTTGGGTTTGCTAGCTGCAGAATAACTGGATAGTTGCTTGGGTCGAATTAGGATCTGAGATGTAAGGTGAACGCATGTACGCAATATAAGGAAGAGCGAGAAGGGTCGGTTGAAAGTGTTTGGGTCGATTGAAAGTGTTTGTGACTGAGGGCTTCAGGCTGTGAGTTATGAGCTTGGAACTTGTGATGTCTCAATGGCCAGCATGTTGACTTATGAAGGGGGACCTGCGCAGCTCCAGCATGTGTAATTAAGAATGTAGCTTGAGGAGCCTTGAGATTAGGTTGGCTAAGATATTGGCTTTAGGAACAAGTTTACGCAACACTGTTCTTGCTTGAAATTACTTAGCTCACGAAGCTACCTTGAGCTATGCGCAGCGATCCGGGTCATGCTGACCTGTGACTTGCCGCCAAGAACCTTTGCCATTCCACAAACCCTAAACATCCCTAATTAAACAACACCTAAGCAGCCGTGTCCTTGACGACATCAAAAGATATTGCATCGAGCAAATGCGATAGTCATCACCGCATGACACTCGGCAAAGTTCGCCGCTCTCAAACATGTTTAGCACGTCACGCTGCAGATGAGTTTTGCTGAGCAACTTGCGTTTCATTGTTCGGGGCGCTAACAAACCTGCACGTCTCAACCGCACCGAGATCTCAACCTCAACTATACCAACCATAAAACGAATACGCAAGAAAGGGAGGACTTCGTTATGGTCCTGTGCCCAGCCCCCACAAATCACGTAGGCAGCTTACAGCCTGGAGTCTAGAGGTTTAGGGTTTAGGGTTCAGGGTTCAGGGTTCAGGGTTTAGGGTGGCATCTGCGAAGCCCACAGAAACTGCGACGTGGTTGGATGACAAATGTTACCCCTACAAGGATACACCACGGCAAACACAAGCTGCTCAGAAGGACCTCCATTATAGCGACTCATAATCAGAGACTCCAGGGATCAAGCACCGATATAGCCAGTGATTCTTGCTCAGAACCCCTAAGCCCACAACCCTGAAACCCCTAAACCCTAAACCCTAAACCCTAAACCCTAAACCCTAAACCCTAAACCCTAAACCCTAAACCCTAAACGTGTGAACTTCACGTGTGGTGCCTGAGCCCCGAGTGGGAAGGACCATTCATGCCGCTCACGTAGACGTGCGAATTTGCTGCCGGCATGGCTAATTTGCCCTAAGGCCCCTCAAGTGGGTCTACATAGCTATAGGGTTCAGGGTCGAAGGCTTAATAAACAAGGAGAATCATACTCACAATACCAATAGTACTAGTAGTGCCTACTTTGGGCTTCATGGGGCCTTAGGCTAATATCAGCACCACGCATGTTCTCGTAGGCTAGTTACATGGTCCCTTAGTATGGGCCCTCAATTGGGGAAACCTTGTATACGCCTTGTATGCCCTATAAAACCCAAGGGCCCATACTTCAAAACCAGAAGCAGTTCTCGTTCCGACTATCGAGCCGGCCGCAACGTGAACGTTTAGGGTTTAGGGGTTGGTGTAGGATTTAGTATTTAAGGCAAAAGTTAGGGTTTAGGGGTTTAAGGTTTACAAGTTGTTTTCAGCAACGTGTATCTTGTCTATGTGCTCGTTCACCCAGCGGGAGTTCGAGGTGCAATGCTCTCTGCAAGCCCGAGCAATAATATGTAAGTCATTTTATGGAGTATGTAAGAGTGAGTATTCGACGCACAAAAAGCGGGTCTGCATTGAGTTCTCTCCTGCTGGCAGTGTATTAGGCCGTCGGGTCAGGCCTTCAAGGGCATGCCTGCGCCCCTGCGTCGATTCCGGCCGTGTCCGCGTCCGCGGCGGGCACGAGAAACCGACGGCTCCAGATTCACAGCAGGCATCATGCGTCTGCCACTGCCACCCGTCTCCTGCTCTCTTGCCACGAAGGCCTTGACCACCTCTGGAGGCGCAAACGGTTTGATGTCCGGCATCTGGGTCCTGCGTCCACACCACTTCTTCATGTTCTCCTCAAGGCCCTGCACGTGTGAGCGGACGACGGTGACCTGCTGGGAGCCCACAACCAACGCTGTGAGCATGCGGTGGTGCCATGACTTCTGAAACATCTGAGCGACCCTGGGATCCACGAAGTTCACAATTGCGTAGCCTTCGTTCCTGCGCAAGCTGAAGTTCCATGGCAGGTGGCAGAAGTCGTAGAGCTGCTGGAAGCCGCAGATGTTCAACTCCTCTGTCAGATCATGCTGAGTCATGAGCTCTGGCACGCCCTGGATAATCATCGTTGTGGTTTCACTCTCGTCGTCAGTGTCCGGAAAAACAACCGCATTGGGGTCTTCCTGAGCTTCGAAACTTCCCGAGACAGAAGGTAGGTATTTTCGGGGCTCATTGCACGAGCACGATTGAAACTCAGAAACCAATTATGTAAACATAGTACTTTAGAGGTTACAAACACAAAGCCCTAGACCCTATACTGCTTATTAAGAGCCCAGACAGGAGTCTTTTGCGTCGGAAGCTTCGTAGTCCTCTGCCAGATTTTGCTGAGTCATGAGCTCTGGCACACCTTGGATAATCATCGCGGTGGTTTCGCTGTCGTCATCGGTGCCCGAGAAAACAAGCGCATTGGGGTCTTCCTGAGCTTTGAAGTAACCGTGAGCATAAAGTCTATACTTTTAGGAGCCCGTTGCAATGATACGAATTGAACTCAGAAACCGAGAATTACTTAAGAGCCGATTTGATCTCAGAAACCAAAACCCTAACCCTACACCCTAAACCTTAACGGTGCACCCTAAACCCTAAGCCCAAGAAGGTATTCAAGAGCCCAGATGGGAGTCTTTTGCGTCGGAAGCTTCGTAGACCGGCTCGGCGTTGGGCTCACAAGCTCGAAGTTTAACCTCTTTGCCGGTTCTTGAAAGAGCTTAGGGCTTCTTTTTGGGGGATTGAGGAAGTAGGTTCCCTGTTGTGTCCCTTCAAGGGCTATATCGGGGAGGATAAGGTATCTGGTACCATAGAATTCCCTATTCAGAACCAGCAAGCCTCGGCGAGCTGGAAGGGTATAAAGCCGGGAAAGCTGCTAGAGCGACGGAGAGCGCCTGTGGGCGCAGGTGCTTCGTCATCGAAGGAGAGGAATGCCTTTGGCAAAGGTGCTAGGCGCCTGTGCATGAAGGCCATGCCGGAGACTCTCAAGCTGAGCGCTTTGCGAGGCTTGGCGCTTTGAGAGCTAAGACGGCTCGGTGAGAATTCGAGATGCCCTACTTTAAACTTGCGGGCTGCAATCAATCAGTCTTTGGGTCTTTGGGTGGGCTTGGAGTTTAAGGTTTAGCCTGTGGGGGCCCCAAAGAAATTCTGGCGTTTATGGAATTAATTTAATATGGTTGTTTAGGGTTCGGGCAACTTGCAAATGTAAACAAGCCGCCGTTGAAGGGTTTTAGGGTCTTGCGTACCTTCCCGAGACCTTGGAACCGTATGCCTGGAGTCAAATGTTCGAGCACACGGACTCTGCAGCGTCCTCGCCTTCGCAGCAGCTGCTTGACCGCATCGTCATTTTCAGGATTTCCATCCGGCACACGCTGACCTTAACCGGTGGAAGCGAAGGACTAAAACGACAGTCCTCAATGCAGATGAGTTTGGCAAGGGCTCCCGAGGCATAAACTCTACTCGCAGCTTCACGGGCAGTTGGGTTGTCACATAATTCCGAACACTGCAACGCTCCTTACAATACCTACCATTCCTCGCAACCGCCCATGACCTCCAAGAAAACACCTCGCTAGGCTGCTGGCCAAACGTCTGATCCGCAAGAATGAGCTCGGCATGATCCTGCGTGCGTCTTAGAAGAACCCCTGCCCTCTGAGCGGGGGGGGCCTGTTGGGCTCAACCCAATGGGCGACGTTCGACTGGGTTCAGTCAGGTCGTCCTCCGGGGTGCGCTTGCCGGAGTTCTCGTAGTACTTTCTGATCCTTGGAGGCTTCAGATGGCGCAGCTGGCAAAAACTCTGACGTTCATGCCTCTATGGTACAAACATTAACATTTCACCGCCTGAGATTTTGCTACATTGCTACGTAAGACTATGAGACTGTCACCATACCATCTTACTCGAATGGGTCCATTGCGACGTTGCCATCTTCATGCGCAGCAAAAATCACCACGTGCATTACGTGCTTTAGCTCATACCATGCCATACCCAAATGCTAAGTTAACAAAATCACACCACCGAAGGCCCAAAACAATCAAAGGCACGTCAAAGAAGCAGTGGAGACGACGGGAGACAAAGGGAGACGAAGGGAAACAAAGGGAGGCGAGGAGCACAGCAACCCGGTAAAGGGAGACAAAGGGAGACAAAGGGAGACAAAGGGAGACAAAGGGAGTCAAAGGGAGACAGAGGGAGACAGAGGGAGACAGAGGGAGACAAAGGGAGACAAAGGGAGACAAGGAGCCCAGGAACCCGGCAACAGTCCTCAGAATGTCGGCAATCCTCAAAAGAATTTTTAACCCCTACTGTAGACTGTTTGGGGAAAGAAAACTCCTGCAAAGATGTCTACTAAAACAATCCCACCCCAACCAGAAACACAACGCTCAAACCCTGCACCCTAGGCAACTGCCCGGGCTCTGGTGGTCTAGAGGTTCTACCTTGGACCCTTGAGGTTGGACCCTTGAGGTTGTACCCTTAAGGGTACGAGTATTCATCCTTGAAGTACGAGCCTTAATCCCTTGAGATGGAGTCCCTGAGCTGAGTTTGCAGCTTTGGCAATGAAGACAGCGCATGCCTCGGCTCTTTAAACAAGGAGCTTCTGGAGAATTCTGGAGGGGGCTTAAGGTCTTAAGTGGGGCGCGCAACCTGAAAAGCCTAACCAAACACAATCCCAAAGCCTTTAACCCAAAATCTCTGAGAATCCTACATCCTGAAGCCTAAGCCCTAAACCCTAAACCCTAAACCCTAAACCCTAAACCCTAAACCCTAAACCCCCTAAACTGCAAAACGCCCGAGGCATTGGCTGGTATTGCAGCGCCCCGATCACCGTCTTCGCCACGGAGTGGGTTCGCATCGCAGCCCAGAGGCGGATCTGACGGGAAGGATTTGGGGTTTGAGGTTTGGGGTTTAGGGTTTAGGGTTTAGGGTTTTGGGTTTAGGGTTTAGGGTTTAGGGTTTAGGGGAACAACCCCCCCCTACCTAGCCCCTCCCCAAAGCAACATCCAAAGAACCCCGGTGAAATTAAGGGCTATGCGGGCAGGGGTAGTGCAGGCGCGGGTTCAGGAAACTTTGAGGCACACCTGCACAGGCCGCTAAGTGATTATCAGCAAAGAAATCGTTTGGCTGACCAACCCGGTCTGATAGCTTCGTTGCATGTTTTTACAAATCAAGGCCAAGAAGAGCAAGAACAGCAGCGGCACTCCTTGTAAAGTTGAAAATTCATATGGTCACCGTGTTTGACATGACACGGCTTCTTTAAAGCGATCGAAATTTTATAAGATGCTGCTGCTGCAAATGGGCAGTGTGCAGAAAAATGCGCGACTCGCCGCAGTGCGCCGCAATGCGAACAACCAGCTCCGCCAAAGAGGCTGATTGTACCAGTGCCTGACTCTGAACTTCGGTGCCCGTGCATCAGAATTCCACTGGGCTCGCGTTGCTGGCCTGCTTGTTCTGAAGCTCGATGTTTGCCAAGACGAAACGCATCCGGACAACTGAACCCCTAACAAGTTGAAGTGCTCTTGAACGGCTGGTCTCATCCTAGCCGCACGAGCCTCACTGGTAAAAGCATGCAGAAGAAAGAGGAAAAGTCCCAGCATGGGACTATAAAAACAAGCGGCCTGAATTTGGCACAGGGGTCAAACGATGCTATGTCGCGACTCGAAGGACCCATTTTGGAACCGAACCGAAACAAACCATCAACCCCCCCCCCCTCCACAGAGTTCACGATTTCCGGATCTTGCAGCAACATCTAGTATACCACACTGGAGAGTTGAACGGAGTTGGGACGTTCTTGGGACACAAAGCTCCAGAGCAACGATGCTCGGGCTTCCGCGTTTCCGCGTCCCAGACACCCCAAATCCGAACCAACCCTGTGAACCATCACAGCCCTTAAACCCTGAACCCTAAACCGGCCCTGAACCCGAAACCCTAAACCCTGAACGAGGCAACGCCCCCGCGAAACGACCCGCGTGTCAGCAGAGGCTGTTTTTTTAGGCATTTTGGTAGTTTTTCCGAGGCAAAACGACGATTTCGGCTTGAGATTGTTTTGGGGGAAGGGCTAACCTCGCGCACTTGCCCAAGTTTGAGGTCGATTTTTTCGTTTGTGACTGTGGGAAGCTTGTTTTTGTGTTTTTCCCGAGGCGAAAATCACGTTTTGGTGTAAGGCCTGATGGTCGTTCGCAAACATGTCTTCGCGGGGCTTCCGGATAAACTGGCATTCTCTCATTCTTGTCATGAGCTTTGGGGTTTAGGGTTGTGAGTAGACGGCTGTGCCGGTCTTGACAAGCAATTCCGAAGCAACAACGCTGCACGCAGCATGTTCACAAAAGGCATGAACAATTGTGCATGAAGACTTGTGACAGCGCGTCTTGTTGCAGAAACATCAAACGTACTGATGCAATCTATTTATAAACGGCAAACACCCTGAACATTCCAGTGTCGTGGGCATGTTTGCACAAGGTTTGTGACAACGCGTCTGGTTCGAGAAATGTCAAGCATCCTGGTGCAGCATGTTGTATAGAGGCGCAAAATCGCTGTACATACCGGTGTTTTTGGGCATGGTTAGAGTATCATGGTCGTTACTAACCCCCCCCCCCCACTCCACCTCCCTCAAAGATCCGCCAAGAACCCCAAAGCGCCTGAAAACAAGCAAAGCCCGCGGTAGGGCGTTAGCCTAAACAACCCAACCCTGAACTATCAAACCCTGAGCCCTATAACCTTCCAACCCAAACTCTAAACCCTACACCCCAACACCTGATAGAAGCCACGTACCCAAGGCAGAAAAGCACCCGTTCTAGATCGCCACCGCCACCAACAGCAAGAACTACAGCAGCAGCAAGATGATGAAGAAATGTGCGAGGAAGAACCACAAACCGACAAACGAACAACAATCGAACAACTAAGGACAGTCGAACAGCAAACCAAGAACGAGCAAACAACAAACGAACCACAAGAGAACAAAGCAAAAGGGGGTGTAATATATATATATATATATATGTATCTTGAATCAATAAACAAGTATAAACATGCCTAAAGAACAACCACTCAAGGAATGAACAAGAAACAACCCCCGAACAAACAATCAACGGGCCACAAACGCACAACGAATCGCAAGCAAACAACAGAAGAACAAAAAACTGCAACAAACAAACGCCAAACGAACCAGCAAAGGGTCTCGCAACTATAGCATTGTTGGCATGGCCGCGACGTGCACCAGGGTGACCGTCAACGCTTCTGGCACGCGAACCTTCAGATAAGCCTAGCGTCAAGAGGAACACAAGACTAAAGGCAACTTCACATGCAAATTGTCATTAAGGTACGACAAGAAGACCATCAGATAACAACATCTTAGAGTCAAACGCTAGTGTCCTCATATAATCATCTTACCATACCATATACTCACATGTCATAATATAAGCATACAAACACATAACACATGTCACAAGATAAACAATAAACAATAAAAAAAAAGTACAAAAACCCACAGCACAGAAGCTGTGGTGTTGGGAAAACAAAACTCGAAGAGGCGCCTCGAGCTCCAGGTCGCCAGGCTGTGCCAGGGCCGGAGTCTTGTCCTGCAGAAAGCCCCTTGGGGTTTAGGGTTTAGGGTTTAGGGTTTAGGGTTTAGGGTTTAGGGTTTAGGGTTTAGGGTTTAGGGTTTAGGGTTTAGGGTTTAGGGTTTAGGGTTTGGGTTCTTAGCAGGGAGTGGAGGGGGGGAAATGGGGCCCCTGTATATACATACTCATGCCTGTAATACCCTCAAAAGGGGGTTGTTAGGGCACTTCGCAGGGAATGAGGGGATGAAGGAAAGAGGGGCCCTACTGTATACCCTTTAAGGGATAATCTAGGGTACCTCATTCCCCCATTCCTTGCTGAGAACCAGCTGGACAAAGAAACTCGGGGGGATCTTGAGGAGTATAGAAGCTCCAGCAACACCCTGCTTTGTGCGGCCCCGCGTCCTCTATGAACAGCTTGTACAGCTCGAGAAACTCAGTGGCAAGAGAGCAGAGTAGATCAATCCGAAAGCCTCGACGACTTGCACCTACAAGCACTGCGTAGGTACTGAGAGCGGTACACTACCTTTCTCGTCCTTGTAGACCCTGCAGTCACGTTGTGTAAGCGGTTGCGTTCGAAAAGTAGCTGCAACAGCCATCCAACTCCGAGTATCGCAGGAAAGCCACCACAAACACAGTCGAAGCATGCGCAAGCACAGGGTTATGCGAAATATACCAGTACCGGGTGATTAAAAATTGGACCCAAGCTGGATCCCGAGCCTTTTGGCGAAGAAGAGCCACTCGTCCGGAAACTGGGAGATGATGAAGGCCAAGTTTGTGTTGACCTCTCTGCTTTCCAGCGCGTGAGGCGATGAACCCACCAGGGCTCTTCTGGGTTCTGAGCAGAGCGTCAGGGGGTTCAGGGTTTAGGAGTTTAGGAGTTTCGGGTTTTAGGAGTTTAGGAGTCTAGGAGTTTAGGAGTTTAGGAGTTTAGGAGTTTAGGAGTCTAGGAGTTTAGGGTTTCGGGTTTAGGGTTTAGGGGTGCTCAGAGTTGAAAGTCGAACCGACAACGGCAGCCACAGAGGGCGCCGCCCCATCGCCGAGAGGTGGCGCTGTCAAGTCACCGATGCCATGCCTGGGAGCCCCCAGGGCGCACACAAAAAATGTGTCATGCGCTCTTTGGCTGCTAAGTTCAAAGAAGGAGCCGTACTCTGCAGACACTCACAATGTGGCATAACTGCGTCGTAACTTCTTAGACATACTCGGACATACTCTGCCCATCTCGACCTGAATGGGCTCCAGCACAGCCATCCTGGTATCTGAGGCCCTAAACAGAAGGACCGAACTCCTCTTGCCCAGGCTCCGGCTCGTCGTTGGGGCTCTGGTTCTTGGCATCCTGATTCAGGGCCCCAATGGCCATGCAAAGCTGTTTAGAACCCTTCTGGTGCTAGTTTACGCTTCCCTTCGTCAGCTCTAGCCTCCAGATACAAACCCTCAGAACTCCCACCTGAGAACCCTGAAACTTTCGCTTGAACCAAGGGGGTTTCATTGGCCCCACGCAGGTCTTGCCTCGGGCGAGGAGCCCTTCCGCAAGAAGTCGGAGGTGGGGATCACCATCTGAGGCCCAAGATTCCAAGATTACAAGGTACTGCGATGACGATGGCACTTGCTGTCGGCTTTTTGATTCTGCTGCAATTCTTACTTATCCGGTGCTTACTGATCTCTTGCTGTGGCCACCGTTGGGGTTCTTACGATTTCGGCTGCGTTTCACTGTTTCGGGTCGGCCTTCCGGGAGAGCATCTCTGCTGCTGATTGTGGGCATCCCAGACTTGTGCGGTGCTAAAACTCCTGGCACTTGCCACTACTGCAGCAGGAAGAGCATGAACGAGACGGGCTTAGTCTTGTCTGCCTTCGGGATGAAGGCTTAGTAGGTCCTGCTGAGTTTCAAGATGCTTCTGGCCCGCTTGAGGGATTGCTCCAGAGGGACCGTAGCATTTCCCACAGTCGCCTAAAGCGTCAATGCAAGCAACAGCAGACCATCACAGCCGGTCAGTTGCCTCCTGGTAACATGGGATGATCTGCGTCAGCGACGGCACGGTGCCCGGCTCAAAGTCCGGGGACGTCAGCCTCCGTGGGTTTATTCCGTCAGGCGCAGGGGCCCCAGGGCTTCCGGCCTTTGGCCTAGGGCCTGAGGTTCAGGGGCTTCGGGGGGACCCTGCTTTTTAGGCTTCCGGCCTGTCGGTCTCTTCAACCTGGGTGCCATCACCCGGCTCCTGCAACAGGGGCTGAATACCCTGGCCCAAAAATATTTATGTAGAGTAGGCTTCCAAATAGCCAAGAAAGGTTAAAGCACGCGCTACCCAGTCTCTAAGAGGCCTTGGCATCCAAAGCCTAACATCCAGATCGACCACCCAAGCCTGGATCCTCTCAAGAGACTGGAAGAAGAAGGCCAGGCGCTCGGCCACGATCTGTGGGAAGCGGGAGAGATGGATCCTCGGAGCCACAATGGAAACAGTCCCGCAACGGAAAACCTCGATGGGGGTTTTCCGAAACTAGGGGTACCTTAGTGGTGTCCTTGTCAAAAGGGAATCCTACTATTTGGGGGTCTATATTAGGGGTCCCTTATTTTCGTAAACACCTCTTTTGACAAAAAAAGAGGCCCCACGACTTGAGGCACGCACAGCTTGTCCTTATGCTTGTCATCTGGCCTTGGCAAACGTTTCAACACCGCGGAAGACGAATGCCATCAAACAGTTGTCACGAACACCCCTCCTCTGTAGCCCAGCCCCTAAGTTTCCGGGCAGGTCTTTCTTGTCTTGGCGCCGGTATACTCTGCCTGCACACTGCTTCTGCCACGTGGGCTGTGGACTTGTGGAGTTGAAAGTCTCCTGCGATCCTGCACCACCCTGCCTGGGTCCCCCTCTCCGCCAGGCGGTTCAGCAGCCTTCCTCAGCCACTCTGCCATGCGCTGGTCGATGAGGGACCTAAGAAGAGCAAGGACAAGAAGCTGCATTTTGTCCTTACGAGCCCCGAAGTTCTATAATGGTCTCCACCTCCTCTGCATGAAACATTTTCTCTGCTTGCCAGTGCAGCCGGAGGTTGAGTGCGGCGCTCACTGAGCAGGCTATGCACCTCAAGCGGATGGAGCAGCTGGCGTCATATTGGGTATCACAACAGGGCAAACACTTGCAGGTCAGTGCACAGCGTAAGGCCAATGCCATCCGGCCCCAAACCATACGCCATCCATGCCCAATCTTCGCTTCGAATCGCTCGGCATCTTTGCCCTGTCCGATGGAAGGCTTTTAGGAAGCAAACCATGCGTCTCCAGCTCGAGTTGGCACATCTTGCAGGCGCAACAAGGCAAACCCCTCTACAGGCTACAGCCGCCACATCCCAGAAGCCTCACCAAGAAAAGCCCGGATAGCCGCAAAGGGCCAGAAACCTCGACCAGGCACGACCCGTCTGGGGAAAGTGCCCCAGGTCGGAGGTTGATCGGAACGTCCACTCTCTTGACACTGTTCAGCTGTCGGTACTGACCTGCGGGCACATGGAAGTGCAGAAGATCCCCCATGATGCCATTGGAGCACCGATTTGTCAACATATGGCTTATAACCCAGCTCGGGCAGGCACCCATGCATAGCCCACCGATGGCTGAAAAGATATAGAAAATGAAGTAGATGTCAACCTGGGCGAGGCTGAATCTGGCAAGCGGATGCAGAGCACAAGAACCTGGTTGCGAAAAGTCAATGTCCTCCTAGCCGCAAGTGGGTCTCGCTCGCTTCTGACAAACGACCCAGGGCGCAGGATTTGCGTCTGCAAAGTCAAGGTGACTTCGCTTAGAAACGCTGAAATGCCTTGCCCGTTAAGCTACGGGGCTGAGCTGGAATGTGCGAGTACGTCTTTGCGATGTTTGTTGATGGAGGCGGCTGTCCAGTTCACAACTCTGTAGCTACCGTAAAAGCCCACCTCCAAACGTCCAAGCCCGCACGAAACCCCAGCATGTGTCCGAGGCACTATGCAGCCGACCAGGACCAAGGTGAGCGCGAACAGCCTGAGAACAGAACACATAGCTTTGGACCAGACTGAAGTACTGAAGTCCTGAACAGATCTCCCACTCCGGTGTCACAAACGCACACAGCTCAAAGCGCGGCGCAGCTGGGCAGCACAGTTGCTGCAACTCGTGCATAAAGTCGCACACAGCAAGATTTGCCAGTTGCACTTGCAAGGCTTCTGACCACGAAATGCTCCCCTAAATGCCCCCATCATCCAAGAACAACACACTGCCCGAGGCAAGAAGCACACTACACACGCAGGTCGCGCATCCGAAGTCCAGCAGATTCTCCTCACAGGAGGCCATCGTCCAGGAGTGCTTCCAGGGCAAGCGGCTTGTCACGCAGAAAGTCCTTCTCCGAGCATTCGCCCACCTGTGCTGGAATGCCAATGACCTTGCCAGAGCAGCGTGCCCAAACTGCACATCTTGAGCCCTCGGTGCACATCTGCTCCCCATCAACTGCATCTCAGCTTGTTCAAAGCCCACACGGAACGGTGGGCTGTGCCCTTTGACTCAAGCCCTTGTATGCACGGGGACCACAGCACCAACCAAGGCTAATTTCAAAGAGGAGTCAGAAGCACCCTTTCAAGGCCTCTAAACGTCCCCCGATTCCCGAATCCAAGCTCTCTGGAGTAGGATCTCGAACCTCCCGGTGCCCGCCTGGCCCAGGAAGCCAAGCCCACAGGTGGAGTTCAAGTCCAAGCCTGGCAAGCGGGATCACGTGAGCTTCGGCACGGGCCTTCGCGTGTCAGGGCCCGCATCGCGATGGGGAGTAAAGATGAGGGAGCTGCGCAGGAACTACCGGCAAGTGCTCGGGGGAGCTGGCCTTTCATGGCTGGGAGGATAATGAAGATCTCCAGGACGATGCTGCTCGTGAGCATGAGCACCTGGGGAGGAAGGTATGGAAGCTGCCCACGATATACTGAGCTTGACAGAACGCTCGGGAACCTTGCTGCGCTACCCCGGAACTGCCTAGGAACCCTAAACCCTAAACCCTAAACCCTAAACCCTAACCCTAAACCCTAGGAAGTACCCCAGCCCAATTAGGGAAGCCCAAGATGGCTGAAACTGAGCTCGAGTCCCACAGCAGCAGGACCACCAGATCCGTCTTCAAGAAGTTTTCCCAGCAACCACGGCCACCTCTGCGTGAAGTGATGGGGGAAGCTGACACCTGGGTCACCTGCCTAGCCCAACTGGGTCGCCTTCCTGGCTCAAGAGCATGTTTTGGGCGTCGAGTTGGGCAAGACCCTCACACTGCACACTCATCCCACAGCGCAGCATACCAAAGGCGGCTCACCATCTTTCCGTGCATTTCTCCAGGGCGTGCCATAGATGAAGATCGCCCCATTCCTGTTAGCGGGGCGGCTGTGCCGGCCTTCCCTCAAGAAGACGTAGACGTACACACTACCGACCTTCTCCACGTTCGCACCCTACACCACCACTACCCACGTTCTGACTGAAAACTTGTCGGTCCGTGATGAAAGCTTCGCAGATGTGAGCCTCAGGTGCATGAAGAAGAAGAGGATCACGCGGATTCCCCAGTAGATCCAGTCTTCCAGCAGCGTATCGCTGAGATCCTGCCAGGGCTCTGCCGGGGCTTCTCAGCTGAGAGCTTATTGGGGCAGAGTTGGTCAACGTAAGATGTAGTGTGCTATGACGTGTGTCAGCACCAGGTACAGTCACTAGTTTTTGTGCCTTAGGAAAGCAGATCTTGAAAGGGAGTCGACAAGAGATGCACGTTGCACATACCACTGGTGGCGATGCCCACAACATCGGTCGTTCTCTAACTCCTCCCTTCTCCAAGGACTCCAGCGGCTCAAGGGACACACCTCATTCCGGGCTCCTGTACTGAGGCTGCGCGGGGGTCGACGCAGTCGCCGGAGTCTGACTGGCGGCACCTTCCGGAACATGGACGCAACAAGGCACTTTGCTTCTGGTCGAATGTCACAAATCGGGGCGCCCGCTTCTTCCCTAAACAGTTCCACTTCAAGGCTAAGCCCCTAAGCCCCAAACCCCAAAACCCTCCAAAACCCTTGCACTCAAGAGGTGTGTAGACTGCGCTTGGAGTGCACGGGAGCCTCCATGGTTTGATCTTGAACTTTGCGCCACGGATCACTAGCGCACCTCAAGAAGGGGATCAGTTTATAAAAAAAAAAAAAAAAACGTGCGAGCACGGAATGTGCACGGGACTTTGGGGGGGGGGTGCCCTCTGAAAAAGCTCTCTTTTTGATGCTTTTTGACCCTTTTTTGTGGCTTTTGCATTGCGATATTCAGCAATATTGCTGCATCACTGTGCGAAGGTCAGATGAGATCTCGATAAAGATCCTGCCGGAAGCTTGGCTGCATCACTCGAACTGAGAGGAACTGCCCCTTCTCAACCAGATTGTAGGTAGAGTCTGGCTTATGGGCCTCAGAGGCCCTGCAAAAACCCCAAAAAAGAGCTTAAGCTCCGGATTGGGAGAATTGTTCGATTCAGCGCCCGGGCTCCGGGCTGCCAATCACGAACATGGCCAAGCTGGCAAGACGCTTTGCCAGCCAGATACCTCGGGGTTTGGAGGTTGGGGCGATCTTCTGATCCAGATGATCCAGGTCTTGGGACCCCTGTCGGCTGTGTCAGGAACAGATTGAGGACTCTCATCTGGGTGTAAGATCAGCTGGGATCGACACTGCGAGGAACGCCAGGAGAGCGCATGAACAGGGAGGGACAGCATCCTGGAGGCTGGCATTGGAGTCATCAGCCACGCAACCCGACCCTTACACGCACAGCGGAGTCCTGAGTGCTAGTGCTGCTATTGAGTTCTCCAAGCTCTGCTTAAGCAGATTACACGATATAATTGGGCAAAAACATAGAGAAAAAAACAATACAGCGTAATGTCATGTAACATCATGCAATTAATGCGGCCAGGCGGCGGCCAGGTGCACGATACCATATGGAGGGCCACCGCTGCCAACCTTTGTAGGACCAGACACGGCGGTTTCCGATGATCACTGGAAGGGCTTGTGCTGTAGGCAGCGTTCGAGACACCCTGGTGGCCCCAACCTTGCATCTCACTGTTACACTTCGACCTTCAGACCCTGAAGGGCCCAAACCACCCCCCCCCCCCCCCCCCCCCCCCAAAAAAAAAAAGAAAAAAAAACAAATAAAATAAATAAATAAACCACTGAACAAAACCCGGCGCAGACGCTGAGCTGAAGGTCTGCAAGCCCAACCTGGAACACCAACCCTTTCACTCCAGGGCTTCCTCCTTGAAAACCTCTGCTCACAGGCTTCAATATCTCGTACACATGAAGGTTCACGGGTCGCTCTAGCTGGGGTCATAAGTAAATCCTCAATGTACGAAGTACGAAGAAGAGCATGAGGCCACCTTTCATGCTTCCGACTTAGCACGTTTCTGTGGGGCGTCCGGGCGCCCAGCAGGCGTACAGGAGCGTGAGGAGCTCGAGGAAGGCCCCCAGACAGGCATCCGCCTGCAACCGGGGAAGCAGGCTGCCCACAACCCACAATCCCTGAGCCCGAACATCCTGAGGCCTACCAATACCTAGAAACTGACTCGGCAAGAGCCCGAGCTGCGGACGATGGCGGTGTACTGGATGAAGTTGACTCTCGCCCACTGTGGCCATAGCCTGAGGCGCACCAGTTTAGGGTTTAGGGTTTGCTGAAGGGTTCATGGGTACATAATAGTTATGCATATGTAAGGGTAACCTACATGTTCACCCTAACTGAGGTTCTTCTGAGTCCTCATACTCGTCAGAACTACCCAGCTTTCGAGGCAAGTTTCGTGCTAGGGACCGCGAGCCTTCGCCTATCTCGCAACCCAAACCCAACACCCAAAGCCGAAACCGGAAACCCTGGTAGGCCCTCCCTCTTGGCGGCCGATCAGAGAGCCGTTGAAGGAGGTGGTGATGTCGCTTCCCAGGCCTGGCTCCATTCCCCCAGTTTGGGGGGCCTTAAAGCGGCTGAAGGGATAGGTTTGGGGGGGGGGGGGGGTTAAGGGGAACTCGAGGAGCAGCCATAAAGGCTTAGAATATCTTGCAGCGGAAGCCTGCCCCGAGGTAGATGTACACCGCGATGAGCAGCGACCAAAGCCTTGTCTTGAGAACTGAGGAGAAACAAACACGGGAATCCTAAAATGAGCCGAGCAAACAACATTGCGCCACTGCGGCTCTTGGAGTCAAACCAAGGCCACGGTAAGGCCGACAATTCTGGAGTTTTAAGCTGCATTTTCTCAGGGTCGGGCTTCAGGATCAGTGGCACCCGGTAGCAGATGAGGAAGTCAATCACGACCTTGACATCCGAAGGCCATGCTGGCAGCTATGCTCGCTGACGAGAATCACAACTGTTTCAATAAGTCACCAGCGAGTTTGCACAGACGTGAGCTGAGTTCCGGGCCCAAAGGCTACTTGGCTCTTTGTACCTATGGGGGCAGGTGCCGGGCACAAAGGCAGGTACCAGGCACAAAGCGGAGAGCCACAACCCATGGTCTTTGAATATCCCAGCTTAAAGGCCCCACAGAGCTTCGTCCGGGGCACGTCTTCCCGACATCCTCGCGACACTGGATACCGCCTTGGTTGGTGGGTGCAGCACTTACCCACCGGAAGTCGGGACAGCTTGTTTTCAAAGGTTTCCTAGTTCTGCGAGTCTACCCCGCAATGGAGTGATCTCCTTCAGGTCAAGAGGGTTTAAGGGTTAGCGGGTAACTGGAAGAGGCTTGTGAGGCGAGCCGCACTCGTTGATGTCATCGAAGTTAATGCCCAGCTCTCTCCAGCCGCTCGGCATCCTGAGCTTGACTTGTGGCCCTACTTTGTAGGTGCCTGACTCATAGCTGCATGTCGAACTACCCATGAACCTCCACGTTCACGTCCACAAGCCCAAGTGCCCCACCCAAGCCCAGCAGAAGTGAGCCCCCGGCAGCTTTCGCGCGACGGGATTCGAGTGCCGGGCCATCTTCTCGAGGCCATCCTGCCGAATCTCACAGGCCAGATCACGGGCTCTCACACGGGCACAAATCTGGCCCTGGTGTACACGTTCGCACGCCTGGAGCGTTTCCAGATCGATCTGAAACAGGACCTCCCGGCAGGGGCCGTCGCTGGACTGCGCCAGGAGGCCCACCTCGCAAAGGGCTTAGGGTTTGCCATGCAGGGCGGTCAGCGGTTGAAGTTGAGTTCCATCAGCTTGGAAGCATGTGCAAGAAAGTCGCAACAACTGCACGAAGGCACGCAATTGTCGAGAATTGACGAACGCAGGAGGAAGAATTACAAACACCATCTCGCAGGAACAGCTAAGCTGCTAAACAGATGCCTCTCCCTTCCACGAGCCCGCACCTGCTCCTGCGAGGTCATGAGGATCTTGAAGAACAGGAAGGCCAACCTCTCTGGGCCTCGCAACGCATGACGAACACAATGATTCCTCAAGAACCCAATCATGGAAGCCTGCGGCTGTCTGCGGAGTGCACGTGCTGAGGGACCATGTACGTCTAGGGCACTGGCAGTGCATGATCTGCTCGCTCAAGGACTCCATGGTTCGCAAGAGCAGGGCCTGAACGACTCTGGGATTCACTGCACCAAGATCCTTTTGAGCTGACACTGCGGGGGGTCTGATGTGCATGCGGCTCGAGGCACGTGTTCTGTGGGAGATGTTGCCAAGCTGATGAAAACGCACCGGTACCTCTGCGAACAGCACCAGCAAGGGCCGGGAGTCGTTCTTCTCGATGCTGCTCGCAACCTCCTCCGCTGTGGATACGAGTTCAGGGTTTCAGGGTTTGGGTTCCCGGCCAAGCAACCGTGCTTTGTCGAAAGCGCCTGCTCAGCGTCTATCTCTCTACGGTAAAGCGACCAAGAACCCGAAGAACTAAGCCCGAAAAGCCCGAAGCCGTCCGAAAGCCCCCTGGAGCGATAGCCCCTGGAGCGCGTCCTCCAGTTCGCTTCGCTGGATGTTGGCCAGGCAGCAGCCGTGAGAGACGTAGCCACACCTTGCGTTTTTTGGGGGTTCCCTTGTGCAAAGTTAGCATCCAGGCTTGATAAGGGCCTCTTGAGGTACATTTATATGGGTTCCCGGGCTACATGCTATCAGGAAGGCCCCCAAAGGAGCCTCCCGAACAAACCCGAACCTCCTGAACCCCGCGTGGAGACACGTCAGCGGGACCGAAAGGGACTCTCACATTGATCTGCAAACCCGAAGCCTCATGAGCCGTAGAACATATCTTAGAACCCTGCACCACAAAGTCTCCATGGGATGGAGGTTTCTTCAGAGTTCGAGCATCAGAGATGGCGAGCTTCGGGCTTGCAAGTTTGACGGGATGCGCTGGTTTCCGCATGCGGTCGGGGTGTGCTATAAAAACGAAGGGCTACAAGTACTTCCAAGGACCAGAAATCATGCCTGAACGGTGCATGGCCGTCACCCGTGTGCTACAAACCCTAAGCCCGAAGTCCTAAGCCCTAAACCCAAAACCCTAAACCCTCAACCCAAACCCCAAACTCAAACAACAAACTGACCGGTAAACCATGAACCCTCGAAATGGGGCTCCAGACCATGCCGCGACACCTTCCAGGACACGCTTGTGCACCTCGAGCCCGCATCTGGTCTTTGGGCACTCTTGACTGGAGATCCTAACATCGCAATTGAGGCAGAAAATCGAAACCCCGAATCCCTGAGCTCGTAAACCTCAGGCCCTCGACCCCTCAACATGTCGGCACGTCTCTGGAGCTTGTGTGCTTGGTCCGGCCGCTGCTTGTATTGCTTGTTAGGCCGAGCAGCGATGATCAGTGCGTTCTCTAGCTCGCCGCCTGCCCAGTTGGCTCAGTCGAGAAACGCTGAACCCATCACTAATTATGCTCAGGTCGCGGTCGCGGCGCGAAGTGCTAGTCCTGGTGGCACCCACAGATGTAATGCAAGCTGCACCACTTGTGGCTTTCGCGCGCTTGGTTCAGGTGGGATTAAGGCACAGCTCGCCAACGAGCATTTTCAAAACCGAACTATAGTCTATAGCTGTCTCTAAACCGAGAGCCCCCCAAAAAAAACCAGAAAGAACACTGACGACGCCCTTGCAGCCTCCGGCAGTGACGTAGTCCGGACCATCCTGGCCCGCATCGACAATACATTGAAGGTCGCTGAGATTCGAGGAATCATGGCTGAAGAATGCTGAGGGAGTCCTCGATGTCACTGATTTCGCTGGTATCCTCATCGCTGTCCTCCTCGCGTGCCCTGCAAAAGGAATGAAAAGAGAGAGAGAGAGAGAGAGAGAGAGAAAAAAAAAAAGAGACAGAGAGAGAGAGAGAGAGAGACGGAGAGAGACCACTGCTCGGATGAAAGAGTATATCTACCGCCTTGCTTTGAAGCGAGGTGTGCTTCAGCAGAAACCGGCCTCTTCTGCGCAATCTTGGCACGGGCTCTCAAGGCCCGCAAAGCCAAAACCTCTGCCTGTGAAGAAAATAGCAGACAAGCTGACAAGCTTCACACGGTAGAGACCTTTCTCGTGACAACGTTGTAAGAAGGCCCACATATCTTCAGCTTCATGAGATAGGGAAGATGCAGCTAAGGTTGGATTCGAACCTCGACCTCTTGATGGGGCTCAGGGTTAGGATTTTCAGGCTTGAGACTCCCTATGCCATATATGCCCTTCATCATTCTCAGGAGGGGTGTGAACAAGCAACAGAAGAGGTGGCTCGCTCAAAACCTTGCATCTCCGGTGCCTG